TTGAGGAGAGGGTTTGAGACCATCCTGGGCAAATAGCAAGACTCCATTTCTACAAAAAGTAAAATAACTAGCTGGGCATAGTGGCACATGCCTGTGATTGGAGCTACTCAGGAGCCTAAGGCAGGAGGATAGCTTAAGCCTAAGCTATATATATATATACACACACACACACACATACACATATATATGCATCTATAGATCAAGTTGGGAAGAACTGGAATCTTCATATATATACATATACATATATGTGTGTATATATATGTGTATATATGTGGAATCTTCATATATATGTGTGTATATATACACATATATGTGTGTGTGTATATGTGTGTGTATATATATATGAAGATTCTAATACTTCCCAACTTGATCTATAGATTCAAGGCAATCCCAATCAAAATCCCAGTATGTTATTCTGTGAATATCGACATACTGATTTTAAAGTTTACTTTTAGAGGGAAAAAGCCCAGAATAGCCAAACAGCTACTTTAATATTCAAGGAGAATTAAAGTGGGACTGGCTCTACAATTTTTGAAGACGTACTGTAAAGCTGGAGTAATCAAGACAATGTAGTATTGGCTAAAGAATAGACACATAGATCAGTGGAACAGAATAGAGAGCCTAGAATTTGACCCACATAAATATAGTTAACTGATCTCTGACAAAAGAGCAAAAGCAATTCAATGGGGTAAAGGTAGTCTTTTCAACAAATGGTACTGAAACAACTGGGCATCCACATGCAAGAAAAATGAATCTAGACTCAGATTTTACACCTTTCACAAAACTCACTCAGAATGAATCACAGACCTAAATGTAAAATGCACAACTATAAAACTATTAGAAGATAACATAGGAGAAAATCTAGATGACCTTGGGGTTGGAGATGACTTTTTAGATACAAGACCAAAGGCACGATCCATGAAAGACAGAATTGATAAGTTGGACTTCATTAAAATTAAAAATTTCTGTACTGTGAAAGGCACTGTCCAGAGAATGGGAAGACAAGCCACAGATGGAGAGAAAATATTTGCACAAAACAGCTGATAAAGGACTACTATCCAACACATACAAAGAACTCTTGAAACTCAAAAATAAGAAAACAAAAACTTGACCAAAAAATATACCAAAGCCGTCAACAGTCACTTCACCAAAGAAGATAAATAGATGGCAAATAAGCATATGAAAAGATGCTCCATATCATATAGTATTAGGAAAATGTGAATTAGACCAACAATGAGGTACCATATATACCTATTAGAGCAGCCAAAATCTACAACACTGAGAACACCAAATGCCAGTGAAGATGTAGAGTAACAGGAACTCTCATTCTTTGCTCTTAAGAATGTAAAATGGTACAGCCACTTTGGAAGATAATTTGGCAGTCTCTTATAAAACTAAACATAGTCTTACCATATGGTCCAGCAATATTGCTCCTTGGTATTTGCCCAAAGGAGTCAAAAATATGTCTACATAAAAACCTGCATAGTCTATATACTGTATGATTCCAACTGTATGGCATTCTGGAAACGACAAAACTGTGATGACAGTAAAAAGATCAGTGGTTGCCAGGGGTTAGTGGGAGAGAGGAAGGCATGAATAGGCAGAGAACAGAGAATTTAAAAATCAGTGAAATTACTCTGTATGAATCTATAATGGTATATACATTTGTCCAAACCCACAGAATGCCCAACACCAAGAGTGAGTGAACCCTGATATAAACGGCAAACTTTTAGGTGATGATGGTGTGTCAGTGTAGGTTCATCAGTTGTAACAACTGTGTCACTCTGATGGGGGATATTGGTCATAGAGGAAGTATGCATCTGTATTAGTCCATTGTGCATTGCTATAAAGAAATACCTGAGGCTGAGTAATTTATAAAGGAAAGAGGTTTATTTGACTAATTGTTCTGCAGACTATACAAGAAGCATGGCACCAGCATCTGCTTCTAGTGAAGCTTCAGGAAGCTTTTACTCATGGCAGAAGGCAAAAGGGGAGCAGGTGTGTCACATGGTCAGTGAGGGGGCAAGAGAGAGGAGGAGGTGCCAAGGCTCTCTCACTACCAGTTCTCCTGCAAACTAATAGAGTGAGAACTCCCTCATTACTGTGAAGAGAGTACTAAGCCATTCATGAAGGATCTTCCGCCATGACCCAAACACTTCCCACTTGGTCCATCTCCACATAGGGGGTCACATTTCAGTATGAGATTTGGAGGCCCTAAGTATCCAAACCATATCAGCGTGTATGGGGAGTATATAGGAAATCTCTGTACCTTCTGCTCAGCTTTGCTGTGAACCTAAAACTGCTCCAAAAATAAAGTCTACTAAAAAACAAAAGCAAAAGTTGACCGAAACTAACTCAGGAAGATATAGAATAGCTGAGTGGTCTTATAAATATCAAAGAAATTAAATTACACACACAAATTAGATCATTTTAAAACTCAGCTCTTGCAAATATTCCAATAATTTCATATTTTTGGAAGACAAATAAAAAAGAAAAATCATAAAGGTATGAAATATATATACTGGTAAAAGGAACAAGGGGCTAAGGAGATATGAACCAGTAGGAATATACACCAAACAACACATAGTTAAAATATAGAAAACAATCACAGACAGAACTCTGTGGACAAGTAGGTAAATTAACAATTTATAGTTACAGAATTCATTATACTTACCTCAGAAATTGAAAATAATGTCCATAAAATATCAAAATATAGAAGATCTGGTGAATATCATCAAACAACTCAAGCCAATTGTTATCTGTCAGCCTATATATATCCATCCATTATGGTCCTGGACAGTGCAACAAGACAAAATAAATGAAAGTATAAGAAGTAAATGGAAGAGTTAAAAATACCATTGATGGTTGGGTGCAGTGGCTCACACTTGTAATCCCAGTACTTTGGGAGGCCGAAACGGGCAGATCACCTGAGGTCAGGAGTTTGAGATCAGCCTGGCTAACATGGGGAAACCCCGTCTCTACTGAAAACAAAAAAAATTAGCCAGACATGGTGGTGCATGCCTGTAATCCCAGTTACTCGGGAGACTGAGGCAAGAGAATTGCTTGAACCTGGGAGGTGGAGGTTGCAGTGAGCCGAAACCATGCCATTGCAATCTAGCCAGGGCGACAGAGTGAGACTCTGTCTCAAAAACAAAACAAAACAAAACAAAAACCATTGATTATAGATGACATACTCATTGATAGAAAAAAGCCTGACATAATCCATAGATAAACTATTCAAATTAATAAAGTTCTTCAAATGTATTTGATACAGAATCAAATTTTAAATTAAAAGGTTTATCTACAATAAAATTTACTAGATAACAGCAAATAAGATCACATTCATATTAGCAAAAAAAGGATAAAAGATCTAGGAGTTAATAGGATAAAGAACGCACAAGACTTTTATGGAGAATATTTTAGGAGAAATTTATTGAAAGATACAAAAGAAGATATTATAAGATAGTGAAGTGACAGCATTTGTCTGGGGTAATACCCAAGGTTCATTGTCTCATGCCAAGGAAATCAAGGATGCGGACACACAAGGGGAGTGAGGTTAAGAGCGGAGGTTCAATAGGCAAAAGAAAGAAAAAAGCTCTCTCCTGCAGAGAGGGATCCCAAGCGGGTTTTCTGGTCTGCAGCAAAATGCAAGGGGTTTTATAGATGAGCTTGAGAAGGAGTATCTGATTTACATAGAGCACGAAAGATTGGTCAGACCAAGTGTGCCATTAGCATAAAGTGTTAAAAACTGGCTAACCAGTCCATTTCTTTTATTGTAGATAAACATTTTAATTTAAAATTTGATTCTGTATCAAATACATTTGGAGAACTGGTTCAGACTAGGTGTGCCATTTACAAAGCATGTGAAAATCTAGCCACCCCACGCTAATCTTTTATTATGTAGATGGGTTCTCTAACTGGCTGGTGCCATGTTGCCTCTTCCTTTACTGTACACATGGTGACAAAGAAAAGGGAAAATGGAGCCTCCATGTTGAACATACCTAGCCCTCAGGTAGCCCTTCTCTATTGGCGCAGCTGCTGACATTCACCCGTGCAAGCTTCCACCTTCCTTATCTATGTCTGCAGCTTGATTTTTCAGGCTGCTCTTTGTTAGAAAAAAATGATTTTGGGGGCAGCTTTTTGTTAAAAGGGAAGCTCTGCCAAGGACTCTCTTACAATCACTATCTGCCTAAATAATTTCTTTTAGCTCCTGTATCAATAGTTCCATATACCATGCTCATTTATGGGGAGCTGTAAAATTTTAAAGATGATAACTCCTTTCAAATTAAGGAATGCATTCAAAGTCTTTTTAATAAATTTTCTGATAAAATTATTTTGGAGCTTTTGACAAATTGATTCTAAAATTATATAGAAAAATAAAGGTACATGAAAAGACAAATTTGCAAAAGAAGAGAAAGAGGGATACTTTAGAAAATATGAGCAATCAAAACTAAAAAGTGAAGTTTGTCGTAGAAATAGAAACTGCCAATGAAAGAGAAAAGGAACTCAGAATACCTCACATATTAATGTGAAGTCAGCGAATGATAGAGGTGGTATCTCATTATGAGGAAAGAATAGATTATTAGCAGATGGTACTGAGGAAAACAGAATCACTAGGTGGAGAAAAATAAATTTGAATTCCTAGCTCATACCATATATGAAAACAAAGTTTAAATGGACTGAAGACCTAAAAGTGAGAGGTGAAGCTAAAATCTTATAAAGAAAATATGGAGGGCCGGGCGCGGTGGCTCAAGCCTATAATCCCAGCACTTTGGGAGGCCGAGGCGGGCAGATCACGAGGTCAGGAGATCGAGACCATCCTGGCTAACACAGTGAAACCCCGTCTCTACTAAAAAAAAATACAAAAAACTAGCTGGGCGAGGTGGCGGGCACCTGTAGTCCCAGCTACTCGGGAGGCTGAGGCAGGAGAATGGCGTAAACCCAGGAGGCGGAGCTTGCAGTGAGCTGAGATCTGGCCACTGCACTCCAGCCTGGGAGACAGAGCGAGACTCTGCCTTAAAAAAAAAAAATATGGAAAGATATGTTTGTGAGTTAGAAATGGAATACCTTATTTCAACAGGGTCAAAATGCACTAAAAAAGGAGAGAAACATAGCTTTGACTGTAGCACAATTAGATTTCTGTTCAACAGAGGACACCATAAAATTAAAAGGTAGATGACAGACTGTGGACGGTTGCAACTTTTAGGGGCCAAGGCAAACCTTCCCTTTGCTCTCTGAAGGTTCCCTCAAAATCAACTGACAAAAGTCCCAGATTAATAGGAGAAAAGCCATCCAAATGTATTAATGTGCATGGAGGGCGGGGGAGGGAATCACAGAGTAATTACCCACCATGCCATGGAGTACAGATGCTTCTATATCCTTTTTCATAGGGGAAGGGGGGAGATGGGGAAATATAGACAATTCATCTGAGGGGCAGTAAATAATTATTAGGGAGAATGAATGGACCCAAGGCAGAAATTAACTTGTAAATAATTCCCTTTAGAATTTGAATGAGCCTGAGAAGCAGGCATTATCTTGTGGAAAAGTCCATCCAGGTGTGGTTGCATTCTTCTGTCTTTTCCACAATAGGTAAGGAGGTAAGGGCGGTGTGGAGGGTGGGGGAGAGAAGGCAATTTGTGTGTGTGTGTATGTGAGAGAGAGAGAGAGAGACAGAGAGAGATTTCCTGTTTTGCTTTTGTTGTTGTTGTTAAGAAGCCCTCTTGGTTAGATAAGGAAATTCCAGAGAGTCTTTCCCTGTGCTGGGAGCGGGGAACCCAAGACAAGTTTAAATTGATTCTGAGACCGGGTGCGGTGGCTCAAGCCTGTAATCCCAGCACTTTGGGAGGCTGAGACGAGATGGGCAGATCACAAGGTCAGGAGATCGAGACCATCCTGGCTAACCCGGTGAAACCTCGTCTCTACTAAAAAATACAAAAAACTAGCCAGGCAAGGTGGCGGGCGCCTGTAGTCCCAGCTACTTGGGAGGCCGAGGCAGGAGAATGGTGTAAACCCGGGAGGTGGAGCTTGCAGTGAGCTGAGATCCGGCCACTGCACTCCAGCCTGGGCAACAGAGCGAGACTCCGTCTCAAAAAATAAATAAATAAATAAATAAATTAATTAATTAATTAATTGATTCTGAGGCTTATTTGATTTTGAGCCTTATTTGATTCTGAGGCCTTTCAATTTTCAAAAGCACTCAGCATGCCCAAGTACCATGTTTTACAGAATCGTTTTCTGCACTCCAGCAAATGTCTAAGAATGTCAAGGGATTACTATCTAGAGCAAGCTTGTCCAACCTGTAGTCCATGGGCTGCATGTGGCCCAGGACAGCTTTGAATTCAGGCCAACACAAATTCATAAACTTTCCTAAAACATGAGATGTTTTGTGATTTTTTTTTTTTCCAGCTCATCAGCGATTGTTGGTGTTAGTGTATTTTATGTGTAGGCCAAAACAATTCTTCTTCCAGTGTGGCCCAGGGAAGCCAAAAGATTGGACAACCTGATCTAGATTTCATGAACAATACCTGTAAATCAATGAGAACAAGATGGAAAACAAGTAGAAAAATGGGGGAAAAGGCTGGGCGTGGTGGCTCATGCTTGTAATCCCAGCACTTTGGGAGGCCAAGGTGGGCGGATCACGAGGTCAGGAGATGGAGACCATCCTGGCTAACACGGTGAAACCCCATCTCTACCAAAAATACAAAAAATTAGATGGGCATGGTGGCACACACCTGTGTTCTCAGCTACTCTGGAGGCTGAGGTGGGAGGATCACTTGAGCCCAGGAGATGGAGATTGCAGTGAGCCAAGATTGCACCACTGCACTCCAGCCTGGGTGACAGAGTGAGACCGTCTCCAAAATATAGATAGATAGATAGATAGATAGATAGATAGATAGATAGATAGATGTCAAGTTCAATAGTAGTTATGTTAACTCACGGGGTTAACAAGAATTACAAGCCAGGCTTTAGGCAGAATTATAGTTAGACATTATTCAGAGTGCACTGGTGCACTTTGACTCACTTCTCTGCAGCTGCTGAGAGTCATTTGGGATGCTGGCCACCTGGTACCTGCTCCCGCATCGTGCCTATAGACAGAATTTCTGATGCTAGAATGATAGCAGCTTCTTGCTCAAGAGCTTATGGCGTTTTCAAATTCCAGCAGGTCTGAGGTCAACCAGTGTGAAGACTGCCCATCCATCCAGAAACACACTCAGAACCAAAAATGTGGTTTCTTCATCTCCCTGTCCCAAGGTATCACTCTGAGCTTCTCGTCTAATCAGTGATTCCCACACTTCAACCCCCGTTAATACCTCTTAAAAACAACCCCAGAACTCTTGGGGAGACATAGTTGAAGTTTCCTCTTGTCTCCTCATTCAGCTGCCCTACAATTATTAAACTCTTTCTCTGCTGTATCCCAAGTGTCTCAGTTTATTGACTCACTGCATATCAGGCAAATGAACCTATTATGGTTACAATTAGGTAAATGATAATTTTAAAGTTCCTAATTTACACAGATCAGATTGACAATAAGTAGAAGGTTGGATGATACAAATGCTGGTTAAGAGTACACTCTTGTCTGGGCAGAGTGGCTCATGCCTGTAATCCCAGCACTTTGGGAGACCAAGGCAGGAGGATTGCTCAGCCCAGGAGTTAAAGACCAGGCTGGGCAACACAACAAGACTCTGTCTCTACAAAACATAAAAAAAATTAGCCAGGTGTGGTGGTGCATGCCTATGGTCCCAGCTACTAGGGAGACTGAGGCAGGAGGCTGAGGTGGGGGATCGCTGGAGTCTGGGATGGTAAGGCTGGGTGAACTACATCTGCACCACTGTAATCCAGCCTGAATGACAGTATGACCTTGTCTCAAAAACAAAAGCAAAAGTAAACAACGAAAGGAATACACTTAACATTTCCCAAGCGAGTCCAGACTGGCACAGCTATTTGGAAAAGCAATCTGGCAGCATAGAGGGAAATTTGATCTGTATATACTCTTTGAGCCAAAATGTGTACTCCTGTTTATTTACTCCAGAGAAACCCATCATATATATTAGAATACTCAATCCATCTTTGTGGTAGCCGGCAACTAAGTGTTTATTACTAGAAAATGGATAAAGGACACACTGGAAGAATGCATTAGAATATTCCACTGCAGTCAGAAGTAATGACTTAAATATACATGCAGCAACATGGATACATCTAGAAATTCAGTGCTGAGTGAAAAAAATAAGAAATGGAATTTGAGCAATGACGTAGTATCATTTACCTGGATTAAAGTGTATAAAGATGCAAGCAAATATTCCAATTTTTTTGATACATATATACCTGATACATATATACGTGATACATATATACCTGATATACATTAAACAAAATGGAATGAGTGCCTCTACAGGTGGAAGGAAAATGGGAATGGGGATGGGGGTGAAGAGAAAAAATACATTAAACAAGGATGAGAGCTTCTGTTAGCCTGTGGAGATAGCATGCGATGACAAGGAAGTAGGATTAACTCAACTGTGTGCCTTTGAGGTTCAAAGAGGAATATATGAATCCAGCCTCCCTCTTTTTAGCCTTTTATCTGAATTGCTTACAGCTCCTAAGAATTTTCCATGTGCTATCCTCTGCCATGGAAATTGGGAAACAGTTCCTATGATACGTTGATGCCTTGGCTGAATTTTGATTTTTCTAGATGGGCCTCAAGAAACAAGTAAATTTATGTATTGTGAGAAAAAAAACATCTAAATGTTAATTAACACAAAAAGAAAAAGAGTTAAAGGGGAGAATCTCTTTACGATTGAATTCATTTGAATATCTGGCAGGGAGTGGTAAAGGTCAGTGGGGAAGGGAAAGTATGGTGATTTCCATTCAGTGCTTCACTGGGGTTCAGTCTTGCTCTGAATTAAGTCTAACGGGAAGCATGTTAAGGTTCTAATCTCATTCTCAGGCCAGGGGTTAATGTCTTTCTCCTACCTTATAGTCCTGAATTTTGGGATGTCCCTGAGTTCTTCATTGATCAGTGGGCCATGACCAGCTTTTCAAGAAGACTTGGCCTTGCCTGAAAGTACTACAGCAGCAGCATCTGTGCAGATGTGGGTGGTCTTTACAATGTCAGAAGACAAGGTGAATGTTCTGTTTTCACAATATATATACCTTTCACAAAAGGCACCATCTTTGTTGAATCTGTGCCTGTATTGGCTAGAAGAAATCATGTGTGTAAGGGTCTTAGCACAATAACAAAAACTTCTCATACTAGTCTTTAAATGTGAGGTTCTAATGTTTTGTTAATGCTCTGACCTTCTATTTCAGCTATAAAATCTAAGCTCACTATGCCTGAGAATTCAGCCTTTTCTATGGCACCTCTGCAGTTTGAAAATCTCTGCTGTGTTTGGTCTAAGGAGAGAATTGCATCTTTGTTTCTCATTCTGAAATTTAGACATGCTGATTTATTTTTGTGGCTCATTTGGGGAGTTCGTGTTTATTTCTTTTTTAATTGCGACTAAGAGACAAAGTATAAACTTTTGAAAAACTTCTAACACATCATAATGAAGAAGCATTAAACAATTATAATGAATCATAAGGAAGAAGCATTAAACAAGAAGTTTAGTGGCATAATATTATTTAGCAACTATACTTATTTGTGTTGAAAGACATATATACAAATGTAAACATTATCTGCTGAGTTACAACAGTACAGAGAAAAATGAAACTTCTGGTGCTGTTCAGGATAAGCCATTTTTTTCTTTAAATATCCCATTATAAATTTTCTGTGCAGTTTTCTCTGCAGACAGAATTCTGTGCCAGATTTCAGATTTGAAATCCTTTTACACTTAAAATGGAGTAAGAAAACTATGTGGTAACTATACCAAAATGGGGGATGCAACTTGAGCTTCCAATTAGCTTAAATTGGAGAATTATAGCAAATTCAGAAAACAAAATGGAGACAATGGAAGAACCAGTTTTCAGTCAGAATATGATGAGTGTGATTTGGGGCATGTTGTGTTCAAGATTCCCACAAAATATTTAAATGTTGCTATGGTTGTGCTAGAGCAATTGACTCAACAGGACAGAAGTATGGAATAGAATTTCTATTTGGGGTGTCATCTCTGTAGTTCACTGAGCTATTACTATATGTAAACCAGTACTGCATATCTATTAATCATCTTATAAATGGGAAACTGAGGTAAGGAAAGGTTGAATAAATTGCCTAAGAGCCCAGAGTTTATATAAGTTAGAGCTGAAATTCAAACTCAAATAGTTCTTGAGATGTTATGTGGTTATCAAATAACTTTCTGGAATAAAAAAAAACCTAGCAGGACAGAACATTGAAAGGATATGCTCTTTAGTGTCTACCAACACAAATTTTCTATGTGTACTTTGCCCACTATTTATAGTGAAAACAATTTAAGTTTTGTGCCATGATGTGTTATAGTCTCAGTTGTAAGGATATTTTATTGAGCTACTAAAATAATAAATTTGATTTAGTTGAGAAGTACAAGGGCTCCAATATAAATTCCATATAGAGTCATCCCCTGGTATCCACAGTGTATTAGTCCTAGGACCTGTGAAGACACCACAATCCAAGGATGCTCAAATCCCTTACATAAAATGGCATAGTACAGTCATCTGTTGCTGAACTATGGGAATTTGTTCTGAGACATGTGTCCTTAGGCAATTTTGTTGTTGTGTGAATGAGCATCATAGAGTATACTTACACAAATGTAGGTAGTATTTATCTACTTAAGCATATCTAAACATAGAAAAGGTACAGTAAAAATATGGTACTATAATCTTATGGGACCACCATACGATATGCGGTCTGTCCTTGACCCAAATGTTGTCATGCAGGACTTGGTTATATTTGCATGTAACCTAACCACATCTTCCTGTGTATTTTAAATCACCTCTTGATTACTTATAATACCTAATGCAGTGTAAATGCTATATAAATAGCTGTTATGTTGTACTGTATTATTTTTACTTTATTTTATTTTTTTAAGGCTAGTCAAGTGAAGCAGTGGGAGTGGAGAAAAAGAACTCTGTATTGGTTGTGATCAGTTAGTTGTAAACACCACTGCATTCAGACCAGACTATTTGTGTCATTTTTAACTGATGTGTTCTTACTTTTTATTGTTTTAGTTTTTAAACAATATTTTGGATCCATGGTTGGTTGAATTCATGTGGATGGGGAACCTGAGGATACAAAAGTATCAATTGCAGTGGGTAATCTTGAAATGCATCATCAGAGAAATCTCCAACATTAGATTGCTGGGATGAGGAAGGTAATTCTGCAATACAAACAATATTTTCTCCATGCTGTTGACAACATTGGATAAATTAACCTTCAAAAATCTCACAAATTAATCAAACTTGCTGGATTTAGGTATTGGAACCACACTAGCCTTTTAAACATGCTTTGGATAAGTGGATTCTTCTGTAATTGGCTAACAAATGCCACTGTTCCCATTTCCAATCTCTTAGTAGAAATATTCTGAATACGGTAGACCCTAATATCTCACTTCTGCCTCTGTACCTAGAGGACCTCCTTCTGAGTCCACTAAGGACAGGAGACAAACCTCTTTGTACTTCAGCTTGTTGTTGTTGTTGTTGTTTTCCCTTTCTTAGCACTCAAGCCAACTTGTTTTACCAGCATGTCAGTGAGAAGTTGAGGATCTATGTTTGAGCCAATGAATTGTCAAGAGCCCTACAGTCCCTGCCCAGGATGCTCAATTTTGCTTGTTTTCAGAGAGATTACAGACCTCTAAACATAGAACTCTTAGGCTGGGTGATATTTTGACTAAACAGATTAGAGATCAATGTAAATACTAAATCTGTTTCAACTTTAGGAAGAGTTCTTACCAATTGCTTTTCAGGGGCTTTTTACAGTGCTACTGCTGGCAATTTAGTCGTAGAAATCTCATCATATCTGCCAAGGATTCGAGAATGTATAGATCTTCAATAATTTATATTTTGTAAGATACGGGGTCTTGCTATGCTGCCCAGACTGGAGTGCAGTGGCTATTCACAGACACAATCCTAGTTCTCCACAGCTTAAATTCCTGGTCTCCAGTGATGCTCCTGCCTCAGCCTCCTAAGTAACTGGAACTAGAAGTGTGCACCACTGTGCCCAGAGACATTTTTAATTAAATAACACTTACAGGTAAAAGCCCTATTTAAATTATGATGTAAACATTAATGTAAGATCATCCAGATAATAATACAAGTCAACAGGCACAAAGGCCTTTGGCCTATGCAATGGTACTTGAAAAAAATTCCAGCTCAGTAGTTTCCATAGGATTTATGACTGTTTATGGTTTTTGACATGTCTAATATTTCATTTTCAAAGATTCTGATAACGAATATCTTAAGAGAAAAAGTATAATTTTTCTCTTAAAGGACCCATATGCTTTACCAAAAACCTGAATTTTTTTTGAATCTCTATTAGCAGTTCTAGGAAGCACAGGAATACTACTTAAAAGATAGTAACAATAATATTTTTAGTATCTCCTAAATTCTATCTTTCCAGAGCAGTATGCGGGTCTCCCATATTTTCTACTTCATCACAAATGCTATTCTCCATCCTAGATGTGTAGCTGTGATACTATTTTTTCTCTGTTTCACTGAGTTTTAATTTGGCATGTGAAAGAAAGATAAATGTTGGGGACTCCAAATCACTAAGCTAAAGGGAAAAGTCAAGCTGGGAACTGCTCAAGGCCAACCTGCCTCCCATTCTATTCAAAGTCATCCCTCTTCTCACTGAGATAAATGTATATCTGATTGTCTCCCTGGAGAGTCTAATCAGAAACTCAAAAGACTGTAACCATTTGTCTCTTATCTACTTATTACCTAGAAGCCCCCTCCCCATTTCTAGTCTTCCCGCCTTTGCTTCCAGTTGTCCTGCTTTTCCAGACCAAACCAATGTTCATGTTGCATATGTTGATTGATGTCTTATGTCTCCCTAGAATGTATAAAACCAAACTGTGCTCTGACCACCTTGAGCAAATGTTATCAGGACCTGATGAGGCTGTGTCACAGGCACACTTTCTGAACCTTGGCAAAATAAACTTTTTAAATAAACTGAGACCTGTCTCAGATTTTCTGGGTTCACAGGCAATATTTATTTTTAATTTTTAAAATATCAATAATCTTGGTGTTTATCATTTACCTATTATGTACATAGTGCTGGAGTGGGTGGTATGATTAAGAAATGTTATCTAATTGGAGATATGATCTGACAGACCCAAATAAACACCCCTTTATCAACTGAAATGAAGCCTAAGGTTAAAGAAACAAAAGTTGTCTACAGGTTGACAGTTCAGGGCTTGGCTGGCATGGCAACTTCCTAAATTCTTATGGCTACAAAAACAAACCACACTCTTGCTAAATTATCCAACAATAGGAAATATCAGCCAAATTGTCAGAGCTTTCCTAACTCTGACTTACATCCCAAACCACTACAACTCTGATTGGACAGGGGACTGGCCTTGCAAACATTCTTTTCTAATAAGCAACTGCAGAGCTTAAACCAGTTTCAGTCCGTTTATAATGGCTGTGCACAAACTGTCTTTGTGTCCTGTAGTTCACCTTTTGATGCAAAAAGCCAAATTCCACCTTATTTTAATCCTAAAACCCTACCCCAAAGTGAACATTGGATGTATCTTACATATATGTGTCCCCATTGCACATGTGCTTGACTCCCTTAATAAATACATTTATCTTGTTCCCTAAAGCTGCTCAATATGTATGACTCTATTGAGTAATACAGATGCTGTGAGGCATAAAACCCGACTTACCTATTCCTGTTTCGAAGACAGCATTTTTGGTTCATTCTGGAGACTGTCTGTTCCTGGTCTGCAAATTGACATTGTTAATAACGCTCTCCTTTCTACTATTTAGCCACCCTGGTGGTCTTTTGGAGGACCGAGAGAAGAGATATACCTATCTTTATTAGTTAGGGTAGACTGTAACAAATAGAACCAAAGTGTTATATCTCAAAAACAGTAGAAGTTTATTTCTCCCTTGGGTAATTGTTAAGGTTATTATTGATTATTCTGGGGTGGTGGAAGCCTTCGCTCACTGTAATCATTCAGGATCCCAAACTGCTGGAAAGCCACCATCTTCAACATGTTGCTCTGGTCTTCACTGACATCATTCAGCTTTCAGGAAGGGGGAATAAGATGGAAAGATACTGCTGGGAGGTTTTATGGGCCCAGCCTGGCAGTGGCATACATTACTTTCACTTTCTTTCCATTGGAAAGAACATAATCATTTAGCTGCCTAACTCCAAGGGGTTATAGAAACCATAAAAGAAGGGAATAATGGATTTTGATGGACAATTAGCAGACTGACAAAATGTCAGAGAGATGAAGCAATGAGAAAATAGCAGGGGGTACATGCCACACAGAGAGGTGGAAATCATTAAAAAAATATTTAGGAGTTGAGAGAAGGTAGAAATCAGTATGGAATAAAGCTATTGGGAAGAGCATCACTCAGGAGATGGGACATGATGGGACAAAAGAGAATACATTGGATAAATGGATAAGAAAGGTGAGAGGTGGGGGAGGGGATGCCTTTCCCTTGTTTCTTTGTTTTTCCTCCTTTTCCTTTTTTAAAAAATTAGTCAAGTGCAGTACTGAGAAGCAGGGAAACAGTAGAACAAGGTAGTTGGATCTGTAACTCACTGTGAATGATCAATTGAAATAACTCACTACCTTGAGACAGCGGGATCTTCCTCCTTTACAAATGGAATCTGTCTTCCCCTCACAATGTCTTTAATGCTGCTGTCATAATAAATCAGGCAGCTATGTGTCTTCTATTTTTTTTTAGACAGTGTCTCACTCTGTCACCCAGGCTGGAGTGCAGAGGCATAATCATGGCTCACTGCAGCCTCGAACTCCTGGGCTCAGGTAATCATTTCACTTCAGCCTCCTGAGTAGCTGGGAGTACAAGTGCATTCCACCACATCCAACTAATATGTCTATTTTTTGTAGAGTTTGAGTTTTTCCATGTTGCTCAGGTCAGCTATATCTCTTTTTGATAATGCTTTGACCACCCTACTCAAACTGCCCTAATTTCCTCTCTTTTCCTTTCTTGTTTATTACTATACTCATGACACTCATGCACACACACACAGAGACCAATGTTGACTTTGAAAAATTTGCCTTTTGTTTTTGGCATTTCTTCTCTGATCTCAGCTTGATGATCTATGGCCTAATGATTAAAACACCTAAAAAAACTTTCATGCATTTACATATTGGACATGTGATATGGTTTGGTTATGTCCTCACCCAAATCTCATCCTGAATTATAGCTCCCATAATCCCTACATGTCATGGGAGAGACCTGGTGGGAGGTAATTGAAACATGGGGGCGGGTTTCTCCTGTGCTGTTCTCCTGATAGTGAGATCTGATGGTTTTATAAAGGGCGGTTCCCGTGCACATACTTCCTTGCCTGCAGCCATGTAAGATGTGCCTTTGCTCCTCCTTTGCCTTCTGCCATGATTGTGAGGCCTCCCTAGCCAAGTGGAATTTTGAATCCACTAAACCTCTTATTCTTTACAAATTACCTAGTCTCAGGTGTGTCTTTATTGGCAGCATGAGAACAGACTAATATAGCATGTATTAGAAACTGGGTACAAAGGTAAATGAAACAGAATTCTTGCTCTTGAGAAACATGCAAAAGGGAAGATAATAGATTAATTCTTGAACATCATCTAATTTGGATCCTTACTCCAATTTTGTGTGTTTTGCAAAATAGATACTATTTTAATTATTTTGTTGATGAGGAACTTAGAAATCATAACTTAACTGATTTTCCCAAACTAGGCAGTATTGTAGCTCGTGATGGAAATTATTCCCTAGTCAGTGCTGCCCTGTTGCTGTTCCAACCCACTCATTTTTTTTTTAATTTTTTTCTAAGTTGTTTTCTTGCTTATTCCTGTTTATAGCTATGCCCAGTAACTAAAATAATGTATTTCTTTTTAAATTTTTATTTATTTTATTCATAATTATTATTAATAAAGATGAGGTCTCATATTGCCCAGACTGGAGTGCAGTTGTATAATCATAGCTCACTGCAGTTTAAAATTTCTAGGTTCAAGTGATTCTCCCACTTCAGCCTCATGAGTGGCTAGGACTACAGGTCCACACCACCATGCCTGACTAATTTTTTAACTTTTTGTAGAAATGCTTGGTTGCCCAGGCTGGTCTTGAGCTTCTGGCTTCAAGTAATCCTTCCACCTTGGCCTCCCAAACAGCTGGGATTACAGGCTAAAATGATATA